AAATGTACTATTCTAGAAGAACACCCTTTTTCATTTACCTTACTGTGTGCTTCTGTCCACCCATCCTTTTTTAACGATTGTTTAATGTTTCTCTATGTGGCAACCCTACCAAGAAAAGTTCCAACCACAGAATTTGGCTATATGGCCTTACACATGCATTTCTGTTAAGTAAATTCAGCCATTTTGTGATGAACTTCAAGAATGACAATGGTAAGTTCTTTCCCAGCTTTTAATTTTTCTATTTCATTTTCTGTACTTACTTTAATTTTGTAGCACCAAAGTAGATTAAATTTCCCTTTTTCATTTGTTACTGTTTTGAAATAAAATAAGATAGGATTTCAAGTTTTCTCAAGACACCCCTTTTTTAATTGTAAGTTTAATCTTTTGCAAAATGTTGAATAATTTATGTAAATAAGTAAATTATGTTTCAAAGTTTTTCTGTACAGTTCTACTAGTTTTTCTTAATTGTTACTATAATTTTGTAATTTTAATTTTTTAATTTTTGAGTATTATGCTTCAAAAAGATTTTTATTTATATATGATTTAAATGTCAGAGTATAAATGGCATTTTGGGGAAGCTCGACGGCAGTGTGTTTTTCAAAAAAAATAAATTTATTTAAAATAGTTTAAAGTCTTACCTTGTCGAGAGGAATGAAATACGTTATTCAGAACTCATTAATTGACCCAGTTTGGTGTTTCAAATACTTCCTCCTTGACAAGTTCTGTTTGAAACATTAAATAGGGGTGATTAATTTATTCTTTTTTATCATATTTCATTGCTTCTTTTATAATCATTTTAATAATTGCACCACTGTGCTTAACAAGTTTTAACTTGCTGTAAAATTTCTCTAAAATTTTTTCCCTTTAACTTTTAAGACATCTTATATTTACCCTACAGCTTTTTCCTCAGAGAGGATAATCAAGATTTTTATTCCTTTTGAACTCTATATATGATAGAGATATATATATGAAGAGATATATCTTAAAATAATATAGGGATAAATATTGTATTTGAAATCATATGATATCTCTTAAATTAATATTTCCATAAATAATGATTTATATATGCAGGAAAATAATTACATATTCTACTGAAGAATGGAATTTTTATGTAGTACTTGATAACAGTTTTCTTTTATATCATAGTATGCCACATTTCATTATTTCATTATGACATTGACTTGAGTTTAAAGTTTGAATTTGAGATTTTTTTTTCAGTTTGCACATCTTTATGCTTGTGAAGTACACTTGCATCCTTGCAAGTTAAAAATCAGACCCCAAACTAAGTTATGAGAAATATAAAATCATATTTTTCAGGATCGGAATAGTGAGATTTAGTTAGATAATTAAGAGCTACAAGTTACAGATATAAAGTATAAATATAAAAAATTTAAATAATTTGTAATTTTTCATGTTGCATTGCCATTGTTTATCTCTTTTCAAAGAAGTTTCATATTATACCAATAATATTATACCAATAATTTCATATTATACCAATATGTTTTTTTAATGCCAAGATCCTGTAACCTTGAGAATACAGTGCACTCTCAATTATCCAGGTGCGGATTATTTGTGCGTGACAGTGACCATACACACACTCAATGCTATATGTGAGATTGTGTAAAAAACAAACATGCACAAGCTCCGTCATATAGGAGGATTTTTTCTAATATAGAAATCAGAGATTTATTTAATTATAAAGAAGTCAAGGCAATAACTGAAGCTCTTTGGCAAAAAACTAAAAATGTATAATTATTCTAAAATGCCAACTGACATGATATTGAGAAATGGTTAGACGACAATTTGACTGAATTGGGCTTTCGGTGCTTGAATGAATCAGACATAGTTTCAGATGTCACAAGACAGAAGAGATCAGAAAGTGATAATGAAAAATAGAAGCGAAGAAAATATGGACAATACAGTTGTCCTGAGATAACGACTTTTGTTCAAACTCTATTGGACTTTGTTGATCAAAGGTGATAAATTATGCTTCAGAAAATAACGAAATTTGGCAAATATTTAAACATTCTCAAAAGAAAAAGTAAAACTGTGAATTTTTTATTAAATATACATACATATGCAACATATATGAAAATTGGTAATTTGGATTATTTATGTTTTTCAATTATCTGTGAGCTGCTTCCCTGGCACTACCTCAGATTATCAAGAGTACACTGTACTGCATTGCATGTTGTTTAATAGAATTCAAGGGTCAGATTTTAATTTAAAGAAATTTTAGTTAGGGTAGGGTTGCCCCTCATTTAAAGAAAAACAGTTAAAACAGTCTTCAAGGTCCTTACTCTATTTGGGAGAATTTTTTGTGCTGATTTTCTTTTCCTATCAACCCTCCCTCCCTAAAAAAAAAAACAGTGTTTCACAAAAACTGCTTTTTTGCTGTTTCTCTCTCTCTCTCTCTCTTTTTTTTTTTTTTTTTTTTTTTAAAGGGGGCAGGACTTGATTATTCCAAGCAGAATTGTTTTGCATTTGAATGATCAATGTACCTTTGCTTTCCCCAATTAAAGCCATTACTTTCGGGTTTTTTTTTTTTTTTTTTAACTAAACTGGCTTATCAAGAATGAACCAAGTTTGCATAAAACAGTTGAACCAAGTTAAAGAAAAAAGTCTTCAAGGTTCTTACTGCATTTGAGAGAATTTTTTATGCTGATTTTCTCTTCATACCAACCCTCCCCCCCAAAAAAAACAGCGTTTCACAAAAACTGCTTTTTTGCTGTTCTCTCTCTCTCTTTTTTTGGGGGGGGGGTGTTAAAAAAACGGGGGAGCTTGATTATTCCAAGCACAATTGTTTTGCATTTGGATGATCAATGTACCTTTGCTTTCCCCAATTAAAGCCATTACTGTAATATTTTTTTAAAAACTAAATTGGCTTATCAAGAATGAACTAAGTTTGCATAAAACCATGGTGAAGATCTTATGATTGTTTTGAGATGGCACTCTATTATATTAATCACACTGATTGATGATGGTGTGCGATGTTTTTTTAATGGCATTACAAATCTTTCATTTGCTTAATCCCGCCCCCCCCCCCCCCCATGAAAAAGGACAGTTTCTAAAATTAAAATATTTTGGTTAATTTAGTTCTGCGGTTAAACACCAGACAGTAAGGTTTTTTCCCTCTATATTAATGTGTATTATATGCAGAGTTGATTCAAGCAATTGTGAGCCCTGATTAAGCTTCTTCTTAGCTCACTTGCCTAATTTTTAAAAGGAAAAACAAAAAATATTGCATTTTTCAGAGATGTTTTGATATAAATATGTATTTAATATATATATATTTTATAACTAACAATTTTCCATTAAGATTAAATATCTATTATTGACAATTAGAATTAATATACACTGCTCGACATTGAAAATACAACAACAAGAAGGAGTGGTCAGAAAGTGACGAAATTTGGAAAAAAAGACAGAGACAGCAAGTAGCAATAAGTGATCTTTATTTCAAAATGATATTCAGAATACAGAGCGAGAACGGCGTTGGCTCAGTAGGCTGTTGGACCACCAGGGACAGCGATGCAGGAAGAAACACGTCTAGGCATAGAGTCAATGAGAGTGCGGATGGTGTCCTGAGGGATGGCTCTCCATTCCCTTTCAACCATTTGCCACAGTTTGTCTTATGAACGAGGCAGGGGCAGAATCTGCAAACCTCGTCCAATCACATACCACACATGTTCGATTGGTGACAGGTCAGGAGAGTATGGTGGCCAGGGAAGCATCTGTATACCTTGCAGAGCATGTTGGCAGGTGCAAGCACTGTGTGGTCGGGCATTATCCTGCTGAAAAATTGCATTAGGCAGCCCTTGAAGGTAGGGGATTGCCACCGGCTGCAGTATATTATCCAAGTATCGTTGGGCCATCATAGTGCCCCAAATACGAACTAGAGGTGATCTGGAATCATAGGCAATAGCTCCTTAAACCATTATGCCACGTTGTCGCGTGGTCGGGCGTTTCACAGTTACTGCCGGATTAGATGTCTCCACGTCGACGCCACACACGTATGCGCCGACTGTCACTGGATAAACAGAAGCGTGACTCGTCTGAGAACACGACATTTCGCCATTCTGTCATCCACATCACTCCAGTCCGGCACCATTCTAAACGTTGGCGTCTATGCTGTGGGGTCAATGGCAGTCTTCTTAATGGACGACGTGAGTGCAGCCCACTTTCAACCAATCGACGGGAAATGGTTCTGGTCGGCACGGGAACATCCAGGGTATCTTGCACATGCTGTAGAATCGCGGTGCAAGTGACTTGCGGGACCGCCACAGCTTGTTGGCAGATGCGTCCATCTAGGCGTGCTGACGTCACTCTGGCTGCACCTGCACCCCTTCTTCTTCCCACATTTCCTAGTTCCAACCATGTTTGCCATAGCTGATGCACTGTGCTCGCATCCATGTGGGTATCAGCTGCGATTTGACGTAAGCACCAACCCGCCCTTCTGAGTACGATCACCATACCCCTCGTAAAATCATCTATCTGCTGGAAGTGCCGTCGTTGATGGCGGCCTGGCATTCTCTCGTATTACACGTATCCTCCGGGACAAAAACCAACTTTCTTCGATAATTCGTCTGGTAGAAATAACAACACGAATATTGCCCATTCTGCACGTCCCTTCCCTTATATCTTACTATCTTACTTACGTGCGTGAGAGCTGCGCATTTCACATCATTCGAATAACTCAGTGACATGCGTCTACTCTAAAATTTTGCATAAATTTCTGACCACTCCTTCTTGGTGTTGCATTTTCAATGTCGAGCAGTGTATTATAATTATTAGTATTGCTGGAATTGTACAATTATTGGGTGATTTTAGGTACCTCTAAAATCTGGAGTGCTATAATTAGGGTGTGCATGTAGATAAATGGTTTCCTTAATATATTAAAAGTTTGGAAGTGTATTAAAAGTAATGGAAGGTAACCAATTGTTCATATTAGTTTAAATTGCCTAATTGTGTTGAACTTACCTTTCTTACTTAAATTTCAGACACTACAGACGAACAGGAAGAAATGTAGAAAAGGAACTTATGAAGAAAAACATTTTGATCCACCTGTGATTATCTCAGAAAAGGGGCAGCCATTTGGAGAATTTAATTTAGGTTCCACTATTGTTCTCATATTTGAAGCTCCCAAGGATATTCAGTTTAGCATAAGAAGAGGTCAAAAAGTAAAATATGGTGAACTGTTAAGTCTTTGTAATGCTTTATAGCATAACATTTGTATCTCTCCTTTATGTACATGTTGTTACTAAAATCAGACCTTTCTTAAAAAATTATGAAGATTATTTAACTTCCCAAGTACTTTGTTGTGTATTACTTGAAAAAAATTGTGGAAGCTTTCTTCGATATAATCTTCATTTAATTTTTCTGCAATTTAGAATTTCATAAATTTAAAAAAAAACTGTATTTTGGGCATCTTTTTAAAGATTTGATAAATTATGGATTCATTTTTATCAGATCATTACTTGTCATATGTTGTTCATTGCATTTGTGAATTCATTCACTATATATTTATTGAGTTTTTATTAGAATATTTTTATAGAATTGTTTGTAAAGTGCCATTGTACATTGCCTTAGACCAACTGTGATATATATAATTTTCCTTATATTTTCTGTTATTATTCTTTAACTAGTCTGAGTGCTTCTGTATATTTGCCATTTTTTTGTGTTTGTGAATGCTAAAAAACTGAATTTAGTTTGTAAAAATTAACAGTTCCTAATATTTATTCCTATGGGAGGAGTGTCTATTAAAAAAAAAAATATCTCCTTAACTTTAGAATTTATTTATACAGGAGCATTAAATTTACTGCATCTGAACTCTAATGTTTACTTTAATTACATTAGGAGTGTACAAAATAAAGTTTTTGGGCTTGCATATAAATGTTTTTTTATGAGATTTTTTGCTTCCCACAAATTAGTGTTGGTTGTTGCTAGGGTTATTTTCTGGGTCTGATGGTTCTTGCTCTTCAGTGATATTAGTGCATTGGATGCTGTTATATTTTTTATGCTTGTAAATAAAAAAGTTTAAAATATATTATTGTTGTTACATAAACAAGACTGTAAACATAAGCTCTTTAGAGTTCTTAGTTGCTGATAAAAATTCTTTAAATTTTGTTTATTTTGTCCTAAGCAATTAAATTTTGACATTGAATAGTTAGAAAAGCTATGAATTTTTTGTTGTTTGAAAAATTAGTTGTATCATAGGTGTTAAAAGGCATAACACAAAATATGCATGTGCAATTTTTTTCTTGTCCATGTAACTTTGATTGTGACAAGTGGTATTTGCTGTGTATAAAATGCTAAAATTTTCTTTACATCCATTTCATATTATTTGCAATCATGCAGTTACATTTCAGTTCCTTTAATTCTCAGATCAGGTTGTATTAACACATTTTTGTTATCATATATTATGACATAAGTATTGTATGAATGCCATTTTCTTTATTACATTTTGCTCTGCTTGAAAAGAAAAAAATAGATGGCTCTGTTTAAGTATGTACTAGAACAAAGTTCATTCATTATTATTCAGGGAAAATCATGTTCATTTACATATCCCTTTCTCCTCCATGTACTTGAGCATTTGAACATAATAAATTTGACATTGAAAGTTACAACGTAGAATTATAAAGGTGTTAGCATTTTGTTTGTGTACATTTCAGTTGTAGTAATGCATATTTCAGAAGCAAAATTAGATTAAATTATTTGCTATAAATATGATAGAAAGAACTACAAAGAAGATAATTAATAATTTAGAACTTCAAAGAAATTGTCTATCTATATATTTTCATTTTCTTTAAATATATAAAAATGAAAGCCTGAATTTTTTTAATGTGTATAGAAGCATGAATATTTGAGTCTGCAGAACTGAAATATTATTCAGCATCTTTTTCTTGGTATTTTTATTTGCATTTTTGATTACTTTTTAAGGATATTCATATTTAATTGAAATAACTGATGGCATCTGAAGAATGTAATGTGCTAATTAACCTATAAAAATATTATATTGGGTTGGCAACTAAGTAATTGCGGATTTTTTTTAGAAAATCAAAGAAAATTTTTTCATAGAAACTAAATAACTTTATTCTGTGATGTATTGCCAATTTTGATCAATGATGACCTTTTGCCATCTTTCAGGTAGCATCATTGCAATCCCCCATGTTCATAAAACTTCCTGGTTTTTATTAGCAAAAAAACTGAATCAGGTACGATTTGACATCATCATCATTATTGAAATTTTTACCATTCAAGGAGTTTTGTAAAGATCGAAACAAAAGTAATCAGATGGTGCAAGGTCAAGGACTATATGGTGGATGTGGCAAAACATCCCAACCAAGCTCCAATAATTTTTGGCGAGTGACCAAAGATGTGTGTGGCCTTGCATTGTCATGGTGGAATACAACACCTTTTCGATTTGTCAATTCGGGCCGCTTTTCTTCAACTGCATTGTTTAATTTCGTTAGTTGTTCAATGTAGACATCAGAATTGATCATTCGGTAGGGTGGTAAGAGTTCAAAGTAGACAATTCCTTTGTAATCCCACCAAACTGATAACAAAAACCTTCTTTTGATGTTGTTTGAGTTGGTTTACCTGGCCTGCTCCATGATCTTTTCCGCTTGATATTGTTGTAAACAACCCATTTTTCATCGCCAGTTATCAGCCGTTTTAAAAATGGATCATTTTCATTACGTTTCTTTAGCTTTCTTTAGGGAATTTTCATTACGCAAATGCAGCTGTTAATGCGTTGCGTTAAATGCGTTTTTTTCTGTTCATTTTGTGAGGAACCCCTGTATCGAGTTTTTGAACATAGCCAAGTTGTTTTAAGTGATTTTCAATGCAGGTATGTGATACATGAAGCTTCTCTGCAATCTCATGTGTTGTACTGTGACGATCCGAATCGATTATTGCTTTGATTAGGTCGTCATCAACTTCAACTGGACGACTAGAGCATTTTTCATCTTTGAGTGAAAAATCACCAGAACGAAATTTGGCAAACCAATTTTGACACTGCCGTTCTTTTAAGGCTTCGTCACCATAAACAGCACATAACTTTTTATGAGCTTGCGATGCGTTTTTCCTTTTGCGGAAATAAAAAAGCAAAATATGATGAAAATGTTCCTTTTGATTTTCCATTTTTCAACGAACACCAAACGAAAACTACGCAACCGATCAAAAAACTTTTTTTACTGATTGACAGCTGAATTGCCAACTATCAAATAACAAAATGAGTTTTACATTTGTACTACGTCTGCAACCCTAAAAATTCAACTGAAGTCATCTATGAGTGAAATCCGCAATTACTTAGTTGCCAACCCAATAGTATAATGCTAGATGAAAATAGTTTACAGAAAAATGTCAAATTTAACTTTTTATTTATTTTTTAAGTACTGTAAAACTGAATGTAGATTTATGTGTATTATAATTTCTTGATTTTTGTATAAAATGTGTTGAAATGTGATATACATTATATTTTTCACATTATGAAACTTTATTTTGAAAACATTTCTATTTTCACTAAATGTTTAATTATATATTCATAATTAAAATACTAATTATAATGAGATAGTAACAAAAACCATAATTTAGGTAATTTCTAAAATTTAAAAATTGCATAGTTGTTAAGTAATTTTTTTAAATAAATTTATATCATTTGAACTGTGTAGTATATTCATCAATAATTAGCTAATAATTTTTAAGTCGTATCAAGTGTTATCACACTTGACTATCAAAGAATGTACATTCCGGGCTTTATGTATATATATTGAAAGAATGAGTAAAATAAATCAGTGTTTTTAGTAGCTAAATAGATTTAGGCATCATAGGTAGAAGAAGATTGTGAATTCTTTTATTATTGAGATTATTAACTTTAATTCTCTAATGTGCATTAATATGAAAAAAAAAAATCTATTACATTATTAATTCTGAAAACTGGCTAAACTCTATCTTAGAAAAAAAGAAATTAAAAAAAAAAAAATTATTAGAAACTATTTTTTAAAGTTTTGTAAAGTATTTAAAGTGCCTTATAATGCCTTACATGATAAATTATAAAAGTATTAAGATATGACATTTCATATGAGATTTTGAATGAAAACTGAAGATTTCATAATGAAATTGTCTATAATATTTCTGTCCCCCCAAAAAAAAAGACATGCAACTACAATTCAATCAAAAAAAATATTGTGTGTTATATAAATGTAGTTTAAATATTTGATTTTTTAAAATAAATAAGTAATAGTTTCTGTTTAATTTTTTACTTACAATGATGTTTAATGTAAGTTTTATTTAAGTACTTATTATTATGATAGCTGTGAGATATTGTAACAAAAAATGCTGTCTTCAGTTAATATTGTTGATATTGTATTCAGCACACTTTTATTGTATTTTGAAATTTTGATGGCATGATATTTGTGTTGCAACAGAAAGTTTTGGTAGACAAAAATATATGTGTGTTAAGTGTTGTACCTTTTTGTTAATTTGTCTATTTATGACCTAAATTTTAAATTTCTTGTATGTTAGATAAGGAATTGAAATATTTACGTATTTACCCCTTCCCCCCTGTAGTATGGTTAATTGAATTTTTGAGTATATTTTCCCATAAATTGCAGTCAGAACTTCAGAGAAACTAAACCATGGTATTCAGTTAATTTTGGGCTTATAACAGTAGCAAAAAAAATGACTTGAAGTATTTTTTTTTTTTTTTTTTTTTCATTCCAAAGTGAGTGCTTTTCATTAGTCTAAAAATTTTCTTTAATTTGATTTTTAGCAGAAATTGCTTTGATTGATAGAGCATATATAACAGTATAAATATGTCTCTCTCTCTCTTTTTGGCAAAAAGGGGGGGAGGAATATTTATGACATTACACATGTTAAGAAAATTTTTGTATACATATCTTATGTATGCAGAAAAACTGAAATGTATTTTGTTAGGAGTATGGAATCCCTCATTTTATAACCAGGGAGTATTTACCTTTTTCTCACTAAAGCACTTTGTCCAGCATTTAGCTGAGAAGTTTACCATATATATGCTGTTTGCATAATAAATGCTACGAGCTTCAACTAATTTCTTTTAAAATCTAAAACATTAAGTTTCACTTTTTACTTTTGAACCAATGTTGTTCATTTTCTCTTTTCTCCGTCCAGTTTGTAAATAGTACTTGCAAGATTGAAACTAAAATAACAATAGATCTTGGATTAATTTCTCTCAATATATTTATTACTTAAGAAATAACCATGTCTTGAAAATTGTATTAATTGTGAATTTTTGACACTTACTGTACTAGTTCGTTGTATGCATAACTTTTTAAAAATGCTTGAAGTCTGTTTCTTATGCTTAAAATTGTTGCATGCAATTAATTGTAACATCACAAATGATGTGCATCAAAATATGTATAAAGTAGTAAGGATTCCGTTTATAGCTATATCCATTATTTAAGATGAAATAAAATACTAGGATGAAAAGTGTACATTTAAATGTAGAAATATCTGCTTTGTTAGTTTGCTTAAATCTTGTGTATAATTTTAATATGCTATTGCTTTTGTACATTTGTTATTTCATATATCTTTTTTCCTTTATTACATATAGTGTAATTAAGTTATTTGTAATAATTTTTACTCCATTCATTTTTTTGCATGATCAGAGTATTACCTGTATCAATTTTTTCCCACTGCTGTTGGGAAAGATATGTATTCACCACGTGAAAACATTTGTTTTATATGTCCTTTTTTTTACATATTATGTTCTGTAAAATAAAATGACGTGCAGTTATTTTTGTTGTTGATTTATTTTTAAATATTTCACGTTAATAGCTTGGTGAGTGTCTAATTTGAAAATATTCTTATTTCATATTTTAGTGAACTTTTTTGAGAAAAAGATTGTAACATTTTAAATATGTAATGTAAAATATATGTGCAGATGATATGAACTATGACGATGAATGGTTTTTGATAGAAAAACAGCAGTGCCGATGAACGACATTTGATTTCAGTATAATTAGTAGAATATGCACTTAGTAAGTAGCTCATACATTAATAGCACATTAGTGCAAGCAGCAGAAGGGGCTTATTGCCATTATTCATTTTATAGAGTGAGTTTCATATCTTGTTTGTTGAAGTTAAAAACTTAGGAGAATGAAGAATCAATTAAAAGATTTAAGGCTTTCTTTCCAGAGTGCATTGTCATGATATTACCATGTTACCCATTGAAAAATTAATGACAAAAAATATTTTTGTTGATACTATCATTAAGTAGATTAAATTGTGAGCTTTAGGGTGTGCGTGAGGCCTTTGATAAATTTGTCTCTCATTTGTAAGCCCCTTGTTCTTTTATTTATTTGGTTATTTATTCTAAGAATCTTTCATGCCATAGTCATAATTTGACAAATATTGAAACATGAAATAAAAACGAAGTATTTAGGGTATTTCATTAAAATGGCTTTAACAGGAAAACTGCATTAGTTTTGTTGTAGTATAGAGACAGCTGGGGTCATTATGGAGTTACAGAGACACTAGCAGTTAAGATTTTCTAAGGAAAACTAGCTTGTATTCATGTTACGCATGGTTAAAAGAAAATTCCCGTGCATCTAGCTCATTCATCATCATTTGAATTCGGGCTAAATATCAATGTTCAGTAATTTTACCACTTGGCTATTGGTAGGCAAGTGTAAGAGGAGGTTTATCTTTTGATAAAAATTTCTAGAAGTTGCTTAATAATTAAATGCATATATCATTAAACTCTTTTGGGTTCAAATTTTTTACATGAATTAACTCATTTTTAAAACTCATTAATACTTTAAAAAAACAATAAATCTTCTAAGTCCTCAAATGAGTGAAATTTTTTTTTAATCAGTATTATTTGGGATTTCTGTGTAGTTAATTTGTAGATTACAATGTAATACTGGCATAGCTTTAACTACACCAAGGTGTCGATAAGTTTAGATACTGAAATCCAGAAAATAAGTTTTCCTTATGCTGTGGAGGGGGGACTATTTTATAGAAAGATTTATTGCTGTAGATTTAGCAACTGTTCAGTAACTTTTCAACATAATTTCCACTGGAATTAATGCATCATTGGCCTATTTTTAAACCCCGATTTTGTAGATTTCTGGCACCTGTGATGCATTGTTTCTGCT